ATATTCCTTGCGAATAACGAAGTTGCGGTCTTTTTTTGTCTTGGTATTTAGTACATTAATTAATAGCAATTCATCAGAATTATGAGAATATTTTGATACGTTATTGACATTAAGTAGTGTAAGTTCATTTGTTCGACATGCTCCGGTTATACCAATAATAAGAACAACCTGTAACAAAAGAAGTATTTATAATCGTAAATAAATTAATCAAATTAAAAATATTGTAAGTACTATGTACAATTTTATCAACAACAAAAAATTACACGTATTGACTTACTTTTGCCGCTAAATATACGGAATCAGGTGCTTCATTAATAAACTTTGCAATTTCAGATGCTGTGAAAACCTTCGATTTTTTTGGTTTATAACCAGATGAGGCTCTTTTTAAAAATGCCACTAATTTATGATAGGTGTCGATATGAACGTCTTTCTTCATCTTAATTGTTAATTTTAGCATTGAATACGTACTCCATAGCGTGCTTGCTTTCTTGGTCTCAGATAATTCTATAAAATATGCCAGCAAAACGTTTTCGGAGAAAGTTTTTGCTCCTTTAGCTAGTCGCCACATGTTAAATATATCGTACTGTTTCAAATACTTCTCTCGTGATTGCTGAGGGAGAAGGCTCATTTGCGCATTATTAACTGTTTCAGTTAACTCAGTTGGCGTTAGATAAACTTCATCGTCGCTAATGTCACTCATTTTAGTTGATTTTTTTGTACAGTTTTTAGGTTATGTTAATTATATTAAGCAATAAAACGTGAAAAACTAGAATGGCGCGAAGCACGCAAATAAAACAAAGAAACCAAGAAGGTTCCAAATTTAAATTTTTTCACAATTTAAAAAGTTCTAATCATAAATTTGGCACCATAGAGGTTACATTAAATAGGTTTAATGACGTTTTGAATTTACAATTATATTGAGTACTCATTATATGTGATGTTCTAAATTCAAATCTACTTTGCCGCTCAAGCGAATAAAATAGAATTTTCCAGCCAGATTTCGAAGCGCAAAATTACACTTTCCGAGGTGGTGGGATGAAAATACTTTTATCGCTTTTGATATTTAAAGACGATAAACTTTGCCTTTTACACTATGTCATTTCGACAAATATTTAAAAAGTTAAAACGATGACAAAGTGATAGCGCGGTAATACTGAGAGAAGGAGTAAACTGCGGGAGGAATACTAAGAGAAGAAATTTAATTTAGGTGTTTAAAAACGAGGATTAAACCTAGGCGAAAAAGAAAAAATGGGCTACTCGCAGTATCTGATCCTATACGAAGTACTTACCTTACAATAAAACTGTGATACAGTTCCTTCTTATTAAATGATGAAAAATAAATTATCATAATAGGTATTTATGATTATTGAATTTTAATGAAAAACTCAGGATTATACTGTTTTTTTTAACGATATTACTTAATGTTACAAAAAAGGTTTACTTAATATAATGACAAATAACCCATTTTTCGCTAGTAGGCACATACTTATTGGAATCCCTGTATTTATTAATCAGCTCGCGATAATATTGGTTTTGTAATTATAAACGATAATTCTGCAAAATTCAAAGTAAATAATATAGATTTTTATAAGTAAATCACCCCTTTCATCACCCTACGCCTATAAGTATTGCGATGTTGTAGCTAAGAACCAAGTTCCCATCTACTTCTATATGGGAATTCATTATAATCGATTTAGCTATTAGGGCACGGAAGCGCAACAAACAAACTCACTTTCGCATCTATAATATTATACTTACTAGTGATCCACCCGGGCGTTGAACGGGCGAAATTTATTTTACCGGGATAAAATATAGCCTATATCACTCGGACAAAATGTATTTAAATAAAGAAAATGTAATAATAAATAATGCAGGTACCATATTGGTTCAGTAGTTTGACAGACTGTTTGTTACAAACATAAAAATCTTGCCTCTTTATAATATTAGTATAGATAGTTAGGATAATAGTATTTAATTGATGAAAAAGATTTAAAAGTAAAGTAACTAATAAGTTTATTTGATTATATTTATAAAAGTTATTTAGCATTTGTGCTTATCAGTGATACGTTATTCGGTATTTTATTTATACAAAAAAAATATATTTGGAAAATAATTGCCATGATTGCACTATTTGCAATACATACTAGGCTGGTAGCAGCACGCTTGATAGGTGGAAATATACTCTTCATTCGAGCTTTACACTACCAATAAAACTATAAATTGATAATAAATGAGATTGCTATGGTGCTCTACCTAAGTTTATGAAAAATTTATTATGTGATTTTAGTTTAATCAAATATTAAATTAAATAATTATGCAATCACCAAAGCAAAGGATGCTTTGGTGATTGCATAATTATTTAATTTAGCGATCTAAAGCAGTTGCTACCATTGTTCAAAACAACAGACGGGAATTACTGCTTTCTTCAACCTGCGACATAAACGTCGTTGATTGGTATTGTAACTAGGGTGATTAACAACATTTGAAGTTTACTTCTGGCATCTACATATTGGGTTTCTGTGAATAATGTAAGCTATATCAAATTATGGGACTAGGATATGACACTGCATTTGTGTATATCACAATCTTAAAGCCGGACGTTGACATGACAATGCAGCCACTGCCAATTTTAAATAGCCGACGAATGAATTTTATATATACTGCTAATCTACTAAAAAGAACATAAACAAAAGATGACTTTTTGAATAAGTGCCAGTTTACTATAAAATTTACATACATTAGATATATAGGTAAAGACTTGATTTAACTTACTACTTTAACTGTTAACTTCACACATTTTTGCGAAAATTGAGGACCATCTGTAGCCTTAACCCCCCGCTGGTAAAGTCTCTATATGTCTTAATAAATCAATCTTTTAGACCAGCGCAAGATACTTAATAATTCCCGCGATATTAATTCCCTTACTGAAGTAACAAGACTACAGTATATACCGTCTTAAAATACTATCCAACTAAAAAGTGTTAAATAAAAAGGTAAATTTAAAAAATCAAAAACCCGACTGCTTAATTATACTTCAAATAAAAACTGAAAAGAAAAAAACAAGTCCAGTAGTCTATAATTCTGTTAATAAGGAACAAAGCTACTTTAACAGTCGGGACCCATTAGATATTCAAGAATACATAATATTTTTCAATAATGGGTCCCGACTGTTAAAGTAGCTTTGTTTCTTATTAACAGAATTTATAGACTACGGGACTTGTTTTTTTCTTTTCAGTTTTTATTTGAAGTATAATTAAGCAGTCGGGTTTTTTGATTTTTTAAATTTACCTTTTTGTAGACGTGGTGATAAATAACTCAAATGCTCTTCAAACGAAGATATGCTTATTCTAAAATAATTATAAAAAAAGTGTTCTCAAAGCTTATTATTTTCGAGTGAAATAGTTCCATCAGCGATCATAATCATAATACATGGATTTATCCAAAATGTTCTTTTTCTTCTATATCTATTTAGCAATAACAGCAGTGCAACAATATTTTTTCGATCCATGTCACTAGCGTTGAAGGTGTGGTCACCTTAACCAAAACTTTGCCACACGAAATCGCATCGCAGCAATTCTCATCGCAAGTTCATGCAACGCGACGTCGCATCACATCGCAGCAATTCTCATCGCAAGTTCCTGCAATGCGACGCCGCATCACATCGCTTCGGAGTTTTGTGTGGGAGTCCTTTAATATGAAACTATAGCATTATTTCTTCAACTTCTATTAACTTTGAAATTTTAATCTTTTGAATATTTTTTTTGAAGTTATACTTCTTTAGGCGCGTTATGAAAAAATGATGAGAGTGCAATTTTAAGATGCGCGCGCATCACTGTAACACAAAAAATTAACTAGTTACTTTTGTGCTTACCGCACATTAAGAAAATCTACCAACAAAATAGAAATAGAATCTCTATTTAGTGGGTGCTAACGACTGCATTGTGAAGGCCTACCAAAAGTATTTATTAATCTGGAACAACGGAACCAAAGCGCGATTCAGGAGACTACAGCGCCATCTCTTGACCATTGGTGTAGTAGAACCAAAAACCACATCTTTATTTTTTGTAATAAAGTAACAGTTATAGGTATTCATATTTATAATATCAATGTATTTATTAATCTGGAACAAAGGAACCAAAGCGCGATTCAGGAGACTACAGCGCCATCTCTTGACCATTGGTGTAGTAGAACCAAAAACCACATCTTTATTTTTTGTAATAAAGTAACAGTTATAGGTATTCATATTTATAATATTTATCCACATGTTTCTAGTTTGTATATTCGGAATACGTGTTTGAGTTTCATACAAGTGCAAATCACATATGTTCTAATAAATTATATTCAGTAGCGATTTTAATTGAATATTTTGATTATTTATTTATTTTTTCAAATTAAAACTAAACTTTATTGACTGTGTCCTTTTCCAGACTTTTTATTAATTTATTGTAATTAATTATTTGCATGCAATTAAAAACTAATTTTAAACGATGCCAAAGAAGAATAACTTCTCACGCGCCTACATACGTACACGCACCCATTTTTTTTCTTTCATTTCATTTTTTTACCTTGTACATAATAAGGTAAAAATGGTAACTACTACACGTTCGCATCAAGTTGACCGCTCCCACACACTCCACCTCACCGCCACTGTATAGTCAACGATACAGGTGATGTACCTGTGATAGGCCTGTGACACATTTTGTAATGGTTATCTAAAGCAATAAAATAGCTTATTGCAAGAAAGCTGACTCTATGTTTTCTAACCGATCACCTTAAAAATCATTAAAATTCGTAATATCCGCATTCCAATGTAAAAGAGATAATAATTAAATACTTAAGACAAGGCTGTATGGACTTAGTATTTTTCGCCGTCCTAAAAGGGAGAATGTTACCTAACAAAATGTCTTTACAGACAGGGCTGTATGGACTCAGAATCCTTGCCTATCCCAACAGGGACCATGCGCACCAAAAAAAATGTCAATGTCAATGTCACAGTGTGTGTGTAACTCTCCTCTCCTCAAAAAACTTGTCGAACCGACCCTCCATAAATAAATTCTATAATTTTTATCAAGTTTATATTTGAAGGTACAATTAAAATATGGCTTCTGTGATGGATGTTGACGAAGAGGAAGTAGAAATGGCCTCTTCCAGCAGTGGTAAAGGTGATAAAAAAAGATTTGAAGTAAAAAAGGTAAACATGAATTTAGCTTAATCATTGTGCTATATTTGTTTAAAATTTCGAATATCTTTTAATTTATTGTTTCTATTTACAGTGGAATGCTGTTGCACTTTGGGCTTGGGGTATGTTTTTTTTAAAAATAATGTTTTGTTGTCAACTTTTTATTATAACCTTTGTTTAGTTATCAAACAATGACTTTTATCATGATACGCCAACCTTATTTATAGTAAGAAACATTGTTGCAGATATCGTCGTGGACAACTGTGCTATTTGCCGCAATCACATAATGGACCTGTGTATTGAATGCCAAGCCAACCAGGCATCTGCAACTAGTGAAGAATGTACAGTAGCCTGGGGAGTTTGTAATGTAATATTTTTAGAATATTTTATAAATACCTGTTAATATAAAATTCATGCTATGTTGTTAAATTTTACAATAGAAAAAAAGTCAAAAAAGTTCTTCTTGCAGCATGCTTTCCACTTCCACTGCATCTCACGCTGGCTCAAAACTCGACAAGTTTGTCCCCTGGATAACAGAGAGTGGGAATTCCAGAAGTATGTAGCTTTTTTTTATTACCTCATGTTTTAAATATTTTTATTAGAATACTCAATATATTTTTATTCTGAGTATTTTTAACACTGAATATGCTTAATATATACCTGCTAAATGATGTGGATTCTGACATGATTCTCTAAACTTGAAATGAAATTTGACAACAGTGTATTCTTTTCAATTTCTATACAGTCGAAAAATTAGAGGCTGACTTCTTAGTTTATATAATCATGCCAGGCTCAATATATGACTATTACAAATTAAATTATAAGAATATGATGTGCAAAAACGTATTAACTGGATACAGTTATTTTTAAGCACTATTTGCTGTGGCTATATAGAGTCTTTACCAATTTAGATATTTTTGTCTATGCTTATGATAAATTAAGCTGACAAAACTTAGATTAAGACAAAAAGGGAAGATAAGACACTCGCAGCTCCAAAGTGATCTGCTTAAATTGTTAAATTAGCACTTTTAGTTCAATATTTAGCAAATAGATCCCTCAATCGAAAAATTGTTTTGGATAGTAAGTAATTTTAAATGACTTTTTTAATGATACTCCACATGATAGAGTAGATGATGAAAAAATAAAATCATCTACAGGTTACATATCAGCGAGCCACCCTAAAAAGATTAAAATTTTTTCATAATTTTATTATACCATTTTGTCGGCATGATTGATATACATATCTCCACAAAATTACTGCTTTCTAGTGCTAACTGTCTCCAGGTAACCAGGGGACTGACAGACAGACGGACATGACGAAACTATAAGGGTGCCTTGTCAGTCACTACAGAACCCTAAAAAGGAGGATTAAATGATTAAGAATTGTTAACATTTATTAATTTCTTAAAGAAAACGTATCAGAGAATATGCCTATGGCATCCATAAAATTAATGCCTGTTTGATTGTTAATCTTCTGATTCTTCGATTATCTTCCAGGTATGGACATTGAATCATCAGTATTGGTACACCAAGAAGCCATCTTATAATATTTATGGGCTGATTAATGTCAACATTACCTTTATTAAATAATAAATCCAACTCATTTTGCTAAAATGTTTGTTCTTAATTCCACATTTTTATTTAAAATTATTGTAAAAATTGTAATAACCATTAAAAAACAAAAAAAAAGTAAAATTGTTACTATCCTCAGAGATTTTGTTATTTGAAAATAGTTTTAATCCTTTTTAGCAAAAAATACACCCCCATTCTGCTAAGTTAATGTTACATTGTTCCTGAATGTAGGTAGGCAGTTTTTATATAATGTTAAATTATAAGCAGCAACAAAGTGGCGTATAAAAGATTTTGTTTTTCCACTGTCCATTTATATATAGTGGCGTCTAGCTATAATAATAAATACGCACTGGTGTGGTGAGGTGCTCGATGGCGCAACTGGTTAGCGCGTTCGGCTGCGATCGTTGAAATTAAGCAACTTTCGCAGCGGTCGGTCATTGGATGGGTGACCAAAAATTTACTATCTCGAGCTCCTCCGTGCTTCGGAAGGCACGTTAAGCCGTTGGTCCCGGTTGCATCTGCAGTCGTTAGCACCTACCAATCCGCACAGGACCCGCGTGGTGGGTCACGGCCCAATCTCCCTGTTCCATCCATAGGGAAGGCCTGTGCCCCAGCAGTGGGGACATTAATAGGCTGATGATGATGATGATGTGGTGAGATAATTTTGTGTGGCTATGGATTGGTTATTCTCTTTGGTCCATTTTCTTAACCATCTACGAAAGAACAATTTTTATTAACTTTTTCTGACTGGTTATGAATTAAGTTTTATTTTTTAAGTGAAACTTCTTTAGCCACGCTTGACTTGGGGGGTAAACTGGCGAATGTGTTACGATTTTGCGTTACGCGCGCTCCGGTGACTCATAGGTAAACATTGAACAATACCCGTCACAAAATTCATGAATCTAGGCTTGGTGGGTGATAACGGACCCAGCGCGGATTGGTTTGCGACAATGGTCCCATTGCGGATTGGTCGGTGATAACGGATCCAGTGCGGATTGGTGGATGATAACGGACCCAGTGCGGATTGGTGGGTGATAACGGATCCAGTGCGGATTGGTGGATGATAACGGACCCAGCGCTGAATGGTGGGGGTGGGTGATAATGGACCCAGAGCGGATTGGTGGTTTTTTTTCTATCAACAAATCTTCAGGTTTAGTTTATGATTTTCAGATCAATGGAGCTAAAGAAGTTTCACTTCAGTCGTGTGGTCATAAGCACAGTCGCTTTTTTCCAGTTTCATTACCTACTCTCGACCATAGGCCAACACTTACCCGATGAGACATATTTTTTATCAAATATAATTTATAAACAAATAAGCCTATAATAACTTGCCTATCAAAAAGTGTTCATAGCTTTTTTATTTAATCAATTTTCTTTCATCACCTTCACTCTTGTCATAAACGAATAAGTTTTATCTCAATTGATAGTTTTTAATACACAGAATATGCCTAGGTAGGCTTGCCTACTTATTTCTGTGCATGGCTACTGGCGAGTAGATGTGAACAGGTAAGTCAATATACAATTATGTAACTACATCGATCTGTTAACCAATCGGAATTGATATAATAGGTAAGATATTTTAATTACAAACCAATCATATTGGCTTGCCTGCAAAAAATAATAATACTAGTTCTGTAAAACTAGATGATCCACCGAAAGCGCAATCCTGGTGCTGAAGCACACTGCCTATTATACGAAGAGAAAAATACTCCTGTTGATGTTGCCTTTCTTGACCTCTCAAGGGTATTCGACGCCATAAGATATGATGTCATGTGGATGAAATTGCGGGAAGCGGGTTTACCTGTTGCTTAAGTTAACATGTATAATTTTCGGTATGGTCATTAGACCAACAACATGGCCAATGTTCTACCGGATGATGGGACGCCTAACGACGACGAATGCTATGGCTATCGCTACCGCTTACGATTTTATTTTCTTATTTCTGACCGCCGAAGGTTCTCAAGTACCTCACGCTTATTTTCTTTAATATACTTAGTATTGTATTGTAGTAGTATTGAGCCCGTTTATCAACGCCCTTAGGAGGCTGTTATCAGTGTGTGATGCTTACACTATGACTCGTGGTTTTAAGTATAACGTGGCTAAAAGTGATCTTGTATTTGGTGTGGGCTCAAAAATAACCTGCCGTTGTTCCCCCTGTGACACTGGGTGGCTCAAACGTATCACAAAGTTTTAGTACCTCGGATATGTGGTCACTGAGGACTTGAAGGGGAGGACATCCCAAAGGTGCAATCAATATTCCACGTAGAACCGCACTTGCGTCTTGTACAACAAGCACAGTTGTTCAGGCCTGAAAAAACGCCGTACTTTGTTCAGGACGTCCAGTTTTTTTAACGCTTTCGATGTCTTACTATGAATTTAATTCACCACCGAATTAAACTTAATTTCCATGTAGGTAAGAAGAGCATGGTGATAATGCTCTGTACCGCCAGTGTTGTGCCCATTGTCCTCTTAAGACCCCTTCATTAAGGGGAATGAAAGGTGACGTTGTTGCCGTGAAATCGCAGACCTGTGTTTTCTTACTATTGAACTCAACAATGTTTAATTTATAAATTGCGATGCCGCCGATTAGGTACCTCCCCCCAAATGCGAGCGCCCTAGGTCATCACCTAGTTCGCCTTTAATGGACGGACGGGCCGACCCTGCGGGTATGTTCGCCGAATCTCACTTAGACTTGGACTTCTTCTTCTCAAGAAAAAACCGGATGCGCCATTCTGAGGCACTGGGTACGTATGCAAGCCCGTGTGACCGTTGCCTCAGAGGGTAAAATATGAATTAATTTTATGTTCAAAATGTTTTTATATACAATTTTTAAGTTTGATTGTTACTAACATTTCTATGGATCTAGAGGATCTGAAATGAACATTTATTATTATTATAGGTTATAGGCGCGTTATTATCGGTCAATAATATCGGACTTCGCCATACATACTTCTATTGCGTTGTTATTATCGCAGCAGTGTTTTACTTCGTAGCCATTCTCAGAACGCATCCGATAATAAAGCGTGTAAGTTTATTCTTACAGAATATTATGCTTCTGTGCCCAGGTAGCGGCTGCTGACTTACATTATTTTAATCTAAGGCTGCAGATAATGAATATTTGTTTATGATACTGGTAAAAATAATTATAAATTGCATGACTGGCAAAGAAAAGAGATGTTCATGATTTTGCACATGATGGTGTTTAAATGATACATGTAACTGACCTCATGATGTTGAGTTTCCAACGTTACTGTCTTGCTCAGTCATCAATGGAAACAACGCAACATTGTTTTGAGCATTCCATTTATTATCGAGCGACCAAATGTTTACACGCTCGGAACTATTCTGAGCACTAAGTGGAAACGCAGAATAACATAACTTCTAAACTATCTGCTTATATACCTATTATAAATGTGAACGTGCATAGATATGTGTCTGTACTCTGTACGATTAAACCCCTGAACTGATTTAAATAACATTTGGCATAGAGCTATTTAAAATTCCGGGAAAAAACAGAACAGTAAAATATCACTGCCTTTTGGTGGTGTTGTTTCTGTCGGTGAGCAAGGTTCCAGAGCTCCACGGGGTAGGGGATTGGGTCAGGGTAGGCAACGGCGTCAGTAATATTTTTTGTATCACTTTAAGTCTATTATCTATAAATTTGTTTATAGGCTATTGGAGGCCGCTTACCATCAAGCGTGCCATATGCTTGTTTGCCACCCTTTTAAGATAAAAAACATTGTGTTCTAGTGACCATCCTTTAAGGGGTGAAAAGGGTGGTGGAAGTTTGTATGGAAAACTAATCAAACCACACAGACGAGAAGTTTGCGTCCTCTAGAGAGCTTAAAGCTATGAGCTACAAATGTTAATTTGCACTTTAAAAAAATATATATATCGCCGCAGCGGGTCCTGGTCCATCTTTCCCTTCGTCCACTTGGATCCATTGCAAGAAGGTAGGTTCAGCAAGATTATCCCTTTGGTCAACGCTTACTCTTCCAGTAAACTTAAGCAAAATTGTATTTTGGGTTTTTTAAGTTAAGGCGCAACTTTTCCTGTGTAGATTAATAGTTTTCCAATATAAAGTCATTCCCTTCTATCTTATTAATAAACTAAGAATAAGCTTAAGACTACGTTACGCTACGCCGTATTTTTTTTATATCACTCAAATGCGATTTGTCATGCAACGAACAGAGACAAGACAGGGATTAACTAATCCAAGCTTATTCTGCGTTTATTAATAAGGGGGTGTTTTATTTTCACTACAAAATGTAGCCTATTTCCTAACCCTAGGTTTGTGCCCTCGATCCAAATGAATCCATTGCAAAGATTCATCGATGGATCTTTTTGCATAGGTAATAGATTTTGTAGAACTAACGTGTTTGAAAATGCATTAAATAATGGGTGACACGTGCAACCTTCCCTGGCTGTAGGCAGATCATAAATTGAGAATTCCCATAACTATTTTTTTTTAATCGGATGTAGCTATATCTACCAGAACCCTTTATGTCAGTAGTACCATTGGTGGTACAAGTGATACAACTTTGTATCCTTAGTATCATGAGTGAAATGTAAGGATATTGGCGCCGTAAAGTCAAATACAAAATTGACAATGATGGTATTATAGATACAACTTTGTATCCTTAGTACCATTAATGAAAAGTAATGATATTCACTACAGGAAACAAAGGATTCCCTGTAATTGGAATCGATAAAAAAAGTAAAAAGAAAGTCATGACACAAGATGTTTTCGTATTATCACGCTTTTAAATTGAAAAAGAAAACGAATCAATTCATTGAATAAGAGGAAATAAATCAATTTCTTCAATAAAAGGGAAATAAATTAATTTCGTCAATAAAAGGGAAATAAAATAAACCTACACAACGGCACAATTTTTCTGAAAATTAAGAGGTTTCCTTATTCTAAATGGTTAAATTTATTTAGTTGTACATCGAACCATTGTTTCACAAGTAAGTACCCTTGCTGGAACTAGCAATACAACAACAGGTATTCAAGTAGCGTTACAGCAATATTCATGGATGGTACAATAATGTATCCTTAATTACTGTAACTAATCCCAATGAGTGGTACTAACGATACCGAGTTGTATCATTTGTACCATCAACGACCCCAGGGGGCCATTCGCTCATTTTTTTTAATATTGTTATTACCAATGCAAAAGAAAAAAAAGAGCGCGAGGCATTTGAAAACCTCAGGCGGCTAGAAATAACAAAATGAAATCGTAAGCGTTAGCGTTTTCCAAAGCATTTCCGTTAGGCGAATAACCCTCAGGAGGCTTGGAGATATGAGGATAGATTGAACCTATGAAATTCGTAATACATATACAACTTTTAAATACCTATATCCCCCACCGACTCTCATCATCATCATCATCATCATCATCATCAGCCTATTAATGTCCCCACTGCTGGGGCACAGGCCTTCCCTATGGATGGAATAGGGAGATTGGGCCATGACCCACCACGCGGGCCCAGTGCGGATTGGTGGGTGCTAACGACTGCAAATGCAGCCGGGACCAACGGCTTAACGTGCCTTCCGAAGCACGGAGGAGCTCGAGATAGTAAATTTTTATTCACCCATCCAATGACCGACCACTGCGAAAGTTGCTCAACTTCAACGATCGCAGCCGAACGCGCTAACCACCTGCGCCATCGAGCTCCTCACCTCACCGACTCTGAACTTCTGGTTTTCAGTCTCAATTTCTTTTAAGTATATTCGAATGCACCTACTCAGTACTCACTCACTCAAAGACTTGCACTTCCCACTATGAAAGAGAAAACAAAAATAGCTGTACAGATAACTATTGTTATAATAAAAAATAATACTTCATATTCAGATTTTAACCATGCAGCCTTACCAAGGCCATTTTTACAATTCTTTATTTATCAGAACGTCATCATATCATGATCTATCGATAGTTGAATACAATCAAATTAATCACTTTAAGGTACAGTACTTTATACAGGTAAATACACATTTATACAACTGAAACATCACTGTTCTCTATGTCCATTGTTTACGTGTCAAATTATATAATATTTAATTGCGTGCAACAAATCAGATTATTATAAAATCTTAATGCGCGTCCAAGTAATAAAAAATTACATAATTCCTAAAACTTTATACATTAATTAATTCTACTACTTAAGTCGAATAGTCTTTATCAATAAACAATTGAACTAATAAATATTGTACACAATAAACAACAATAACGTACGAAGGGCAGTTTCAGCTGACATTTTAAATGCTATTTATAATAATTTACACTATTTTGATCGTTATCCAGTACAAATTAAGGATGTAATTGTTTTTCTTAAATGCGTAGGTACAGCAGTTTTTTCATATGTATATGAACAGACTCGATGATCGCACATAATATTAGGCACTGTAAATTTCACAAGATTCTAAATAGTTTAGCCTTTAATAAATTGTAAGCAGACAATGTTATCATAAATATGTAACAGACGAGGATTCAAAATATTGTACGCAGTGAAGTTCATAAATAATCTTAAAATGAGTTGTATTCTTAAATTTCTTAACTATAGGCCAGAACACGTTGGATTGGATGCGATTTTATACAGCGGCATATAAACCCATATTATACAATACACATTAACCCGGTGATAATAATTTTCGTGCTCTTTAAGTACCATTTTTTCTTAAAACCTCTCTAAAGTAAGGCTATATTTGTTTCTGCTTAACCTTACATATTCTAAAAACGAAATGAATCAGATCAAGTACTTTAATCTATAAAGTGGCAACGTCGCAATTTTGCACTTGCAATAGGCAGGCAAATATAAATCTACATAATGACAAAAGCAATGTCTAAGTATCCTACTTATATAGATATTTATGAAGCTTGAGTTAAGCTGATGTTAATTAATCTCTGAAATATTTAGATATTTTATAAACTGCCGTCACTTATTAGCGAAACGTTTTAGATCAAATTTTTTATGTCTTATGCAAAGGAGATTGCTCAGCTTCCATACATGTTTGGCCTAAAGACCAATAATCATGAAAAATTGTTTCCTAGATTCGAAATTATATATAAATTACTGTAGAAATGAATATTATTGACGGACACCCCTGAGAACTTCTATAAACCATATACACTGAATGATTTTCAGGTTATGTTTGCAAATAACATAGCAAAGGTACATAGGTATTAAAATAATAAAAAACAAATAAGTCTTAGTAAACTAGGGAAATCAAGCCAAGTACCGAAATTACGTATTAGATTCAGGTATATAGAGATAGAACAGATAGCTGCCTGTTTATAAAGTTAATGCACAAGAGTTACTTTTAAAATCAGGTATCATCTATGCATTTCCGGTTATAATAAGGTACTCTGTGACAAACTGTGTGATGATTGTGAATGAGCCACAGATAAGAGAGAATTTTTAAACTCTCTTTAATTTAGTTAAGCTTCATTATTTTTGTTATGTTTATATTATAACCATAATTTAGATTTTTAGTGCATCATACCTTATATTGGTGTCGATTCTGGCAGCATTCTCTAAACTTAAAACTAAATTTAATATCAGTCTGTCCTTTTTATTCTATAAAGAGAATGACAAGGATACACTGATATCGATTCTGGCATGATTCTCTAAAGCTAAACTTAAATTTGACAACAGTGCATCCTTGTCATTCTCTATACAGAATGAAAAGGAGAGACTGATGTTAAATTTAGTTTTAAGTTTAGAGAATGACGCTAGAATCGTGTCGACTGTTGTCAACTTTAAGTTTAGCTTTAGAGAATCATCCCAGAATCTATAACATTGTGTTATGGAGGTGTTTGGCGAAAAATGTATGGCAATAGACTTTATGTTGTCGCCTAACCATCTTTAATAATTGTCTTAGCACATTTGCATGTAGTGAAAATGATAATATACTTGTGGATTTTGGATTGGATGTGGATTAATACCAAAAAAGTTTATTTTATCGATCTTTACAAAATAGATTTGTTTTGATGTTATATAAACAACTTCGATCAGTCTTTGGCTGAATATTACTACACCCATAGCCATTAAAAATGATTCGTATGTTTTCCAAACCAGTAAAATTAAAAGTCCTTTTTAAAATGAATATATTATACAAAGGTCTCCGTTAAAATCTAATGACTGTAAAATAAAGTATAAATTACGCCAAGAATTACCGTATATGTCAATATTTTTTGTACATTTAAGCCAATTTGAGCAATCTCCTTTTAATTATAATAAAAATATTTTAATGTCTACAATATTTTGAACCATTGACCCTGCTAATATTTTATGAATTCGTCTGTACCTACATCATACCCGTCATCACTGAAACCCATTTCATGTCATTGGAGTAGAAAGAACATGCAGCAGTTAGCAACTAAGAATAGGTCATACAAATAATCGAGATAATTCAGGATATTGAACATAGTTCCGTTACATGTAAGACTCTCAAGAAAAATTCATTGAAAATTTTCATAGATATAAAGCGCACATAAACATGTTAGTTTATTGGTATACAAGTGAATTGAGTCGGCCTTTTAGATCGGTATCTTAGTACCAATAATACATTTTGATGCACCGCAAATCGATTCATAAGTTAACACTTCACATTGCTATTTGTTAACTAGACAGCAGTACATTATCCTTACTCTGGAATTTAAAATAGAGACTGCTTTTACAATTAACTGATAGACCACAATAAAAAAATATGCGTATACGAATAACCATGTGAAGTGCCTGCATATATCTTTTGTTGAGAGCCTGCGCACACGAGTGGTTCTTATCCGCGGGGAATATAATTCCCTGAATCTGAATGTCCTCCAAGGACTCGTCACGAACTCAACGCACATTCGTGTGCGAAAGTTGTCCGAAAATTTTGAAAAACGTATTTTCCCAGATTACTTTGTGTTGTAATTACCATGAAATTTAAGAATAACTAGAATACGTTTTAAAAAAAAATACAGGGATCTCTTTAAATGGGATCGAGCGCGCAACACGACTAAAGTTCTGCGTTAGTTCTTTTTTTTTCGGGGATGACACGCACTTTTCTTTAGCCCGGTCTCTCGGTGTCCATGGTTATTTATTCGGGAGTCTTTTTGTACGCAGTATTTGAAATCCCTCGTGTGTTTTACTCGATGCAGTTGTAAGCGATCTTAAATGCGGACAAAAACCCCTCATCTGTGCAGGCTGTTACAGTTATCTATGGTATGTCAGCTAATAACGAAAGAAACAAAAATGCGACTACCTTAAGCTATCTACAGTTATACAGTTATGATTTCCTGATTGTTACGCCATTTATGTGTTTAAATAGATACTACTGAAAAACACATAGTCGCATTGAGTGTATGAATAACTAAATTCATGCTCCCTAAATTTACACAAACTTATTGGAAGTTACTGAATTAAATTAAATATTATGTAATATGTGAACAGTCTCTAATGTTATTAATTTAAAAAGAGGAAATGGTTTCCATTGACCACTTTATTCACAATTTTATCTAATCTTAATCCTAATCACAAGCCGCGGAAAATATTATTAAAATGTTAAAGCACACAAAAAAGTCGATGAATATTTCTTACGAGACGCCAACATTTTGATCAACAAAATGGGTGCCATTTGACTAATTGAAAAATTAAGTTTACATATTATCAATGTTAAATTTTTGTAACTATTGTGATAGATTTTCAAAAATCTTAAATAATAAAAATTACAATTAAATAGTTCTTGAGAGATAAATGGGACACTAAAATAACAAGTTAATTCATCTTACATTTATGTGGCTAAGTAATTGAACTTGCGTTGCCACAAATACAGATTCTTGATGTAGGTACTAAACATTATGATATGAATTAAAGTATTTTGGAGAAGCAAGAATGTTTCTTGAAAATTGACATAAAACAATTGTCAATATACACATACAATTTTAGATACCAATAAAATGGCATTTAAAATGTACAATCAGCATTAAAATCTAATATTATACACAAACAGAGAAAACAATTTCTCTTTTCTCAGTAGTTACAAATAGGTATACCTTGCTTAAGCTGGACAGTGGTGTCGATTCTGGCATCATTCTCTAAACATAAAACTAAATTTAACATCAGTCTCTCCTTTTCATTCTGTATAGGGAATGACAAGGATACATTGTTGTAAAATTTAAGTTTAGCTTTCATGAAAGAATCATGAATATTAGAATCATGTGTGAACCGACACCAGTGGTAAGCTCAAGTACATCAATTATGTATCAGTGGTTATTAGTGATGTAACGAATATTCGCAAAATCTCTGCGATGTTTTGCGAATATGAATATTTGAAAAAAAAATTGAAGAAGTTGTAGTTCTGCCTTTCCTTGAACATTCATTGTTACACAGTTTGCATTTAGCTCGTTCAGCATCGCAAAGTGTGAAATAAATCCATGTTTCACTAGAATTCGATTTACTCATGTTAATAAATCACTATTACCACTCACAATCACTAACCTCAAAATTCACTTGTTCTGTTTACGGAAAGACCGGAACGGAATGACACTTCAGTCAGATAAGTTCATATCAACTCGGCAATTCGAACGAGACTGCCACCATGCCATAGACAATTGGCGCCAATTTAAAATAAAACTAAATTTCGCATTCGCATTCGCGAATGTCGGTACCAGACATTCGCATTCGCGAATGTCGGTACCAGACATTCGCATTCGCGAATGTACAAAAAATTACTTTCGTTACATCACTAGTGGTTACATATCAGTGGTAAAGAAAAAAATGGAATCAATTTAAAAAAAGTTTTGTTAATAGCGTACTTACTTAAAAAGGTAGTCACATGAGGCCTCTGCTCTATTTGCAAGATATAAAAAACACACCATAATGCAATAATATTGTTTCTATGACATCCAAACAGATTTTTTTAAAAGAAGTAGGTAAGTAGTAGTAAGAACTCTAAAAAACACGATACTTCAAGAAAGACCTTGGGAAAAATAATTAAAAAATTAAATCTAATTAGTATATAATTATACTAATTAGTAAATTAAAGTTAAATTAAAACAACCCACTTTTAGCTTCAGTGTATACTAAAAATCTAAAATTGTATAATACCAAATTTACCTAAGTTTATAGATGGTTTACATTTCTCATACCTTTACAATTTATTGAACTCATGTAACAAGTATGTTTGTGGATATTGATAAATAGGATGCTGACTGTGAATAGTGCATTAGAATTTTATTAACAAATATTACCTTGGAGTCATCAAATAATATTATGATTTCTATCACACAATACTCAGAACTTCACAACACAAAATAAATACTAGATAAAATATCCTATAGTCAATGACAATTAAACTAATAATTGAATAACGGTGGAAAAATAACCATAAGGTAATTGCGGCTGTCAGTCTGCAGATATAGCAGTGGGCAAATCAATAGTACGACTTTCATTACCGAAAATAAGCCTTAAGCGTTTCATTGGAGGCAAGGGACGGATTGGGCTGTGTTTACGGTGGCGCTCTTTAGAACGACGCCGCTTCTTGAGACGGCGTACAGTCTCCGGATCCACGCCTTCTAACCGTAACACTTCATACTCTGGTACCTCTGCTGGGGCACCACAATCCATCACCTCTTCGACAACTGGACTTCTCTTTACACGCAAAGTTAGTTTCAATCCTCTGCGAGGAGGAGTGCAAGGACACTCACTGCTCTTATTTGAATTGTCAGCTAACCAAGGAGGTCCTGATTCCAATTCTTTGCTAGATTCCTCATTTCGATTAGACATTTCTACTTTACATGTTTTGTTAGTTTTATTATCTTTTGTTAATTCACTTGGATTAATATTTTCTCTAAAATCATAAATCTCACTTTTAGAACATATATTATCACTTACACTTTCATCCACAATTTCTTTGTTCGTACCTTCAGAGCAACTTTCAGTGTCTACCTGATTTACTTCAGGATTTGACTGTAAAGGTTGCTGTAGAGATTCTTTAGTATCACAATGGTCAGTTTGTTCTAGGTCTGTTTCAGTAATATTATCAGATTCTGTTTCCAACAAATTATTCTTTTGATACATATTAATAGAATCTGTTTCAATAGATATCTTGTTTATCTCTGAAGTACCAATTACATTGTGTTCTTCTTCAGTAGTTATCAGGTTATTCTCTTCCTTTGCAACAACCACTTCATTCACTTTAGTTTTTGCTTTAGAGCAAGTTGTTTGTAAACCAGAATCTAAAAGGCGTTTATGACTTCGTAAGACTATACCTGAATGTGAATCTCTACTACTTCGAGAACTAGTTGTACTGCAACATCGTGAAGGTGGTGCTCTATGTTTTGTATTAGCAGGGGATGTGACTGTTCCATTTGTCAATCGATTACTATCAGTTCTTCTTCTTAAGCGGTCTCCACGGCTTGAAGCAGAAGATTCTCTACTGCCCTGAATTTCTTTACTAACATTAGCATCTACAACATCTGCAATACAGCCCTGAGCTATTAATAATTCAGCATCATATTTGGTCAAGCCTTTTTGTTTCATTTCTTTCATGCTAAGTGGAGAGACAATATTTGCATTTTGTCTGCTAGAAACTCTTGATTTGTCATTATTTTTGCCATTTACAGTTTTCTGGATTTGTTTAGCTTTTGTCCTGTTAATTCTATTATCAGTTTCTCTAAATCTATACCTAGTGGCTTGCTCTTCATTGTGTTCACTTTTCACAGAAAATGCACCTTTTCCACGTCTTTCACATGTTTCACATTCACAATAACAATTCCCATTTCCAAAGAAATCTTCACCATAAAAACAGGTGATTTCTTCTCCTACCTCAATGTCTCTCAAAACACGAACAAATGCTTTACCACGATCTGTGGCCTCAAATGTGCAATTTGGTCTACAGTCATGATTTATGTAGGCTGCAGGGCCGAGCCAAAGCTGTGCACAATTTTTTCTACAACTATACATCACTGAAAAGTCATTTTTCCCAGGATGGAGTAACTGTTTTTCTTCATCTTCTGTCATCTCAGCTATACAACCAACTAAGAAGTCTATCCTTTCATGTTTGAAAAACTTTTTGGTAGTCGAAATTTTAGCTCCAACTTGACCCTCTAAAGAGTATCTATAACATGGTTCTATGACAAAGCCAGCTTTCTTGTCAAAAACTCTTAGATATCTGTATAGCTGAAATTAATAAAAAAATATTAGTAAGAGTGTAATTATAATGTTGTAAAATAGAATCATTATGATAATAACAATTACTAACATGCTCCCTTAACTTGCTCTGCTGATGTTTATTTTTACTAAAGTGCCTTGGCATCCATTCTCCATTAGCTAATTTGGAATAGGCTTTACTGTAGTCTTGGGTTTGAATAAACTCTTTTACAATATTTTTCAATTCCTCCTTATTTGTTTTGATGGGTCTATACCGAATATTCATTTTATGTGTAGTGATACCAAGATAGGGATCCACTATGAGTGCAGTTGCCAAATCGTCATACTCGGAGAGCTCGCGAGGAGTCATACCCATCGGCTGCATTTTGTGGAGTACTTGCCTCCCTGGATACGATGCTGATCCAACAACCATTCTGAATTATCCCTGAACAACAAAGGACGCGATTTTTTTTGTTAACTGACGTTCTACTTTAGAAACTCGTTACATAGTTCATTCTGTCAACAAACTTCAAAGAAGAAAACCACCAAAGCATCAGAAAAAACATATAAAATCAAGCCTCTGCTGATTTTTAGAAATAAATTAAAATATTAAAGGGCAAATATGGCCGCCATCCTCGAAATCCAAAAAACGACACGTCAAAACTTTGACACTGATTCTCGTCCATTTAGACTGATTAAATAAAACGAATTAGCTTTTAGACTGTAATATAAAAATATATGAGTAACATAAAACTTACTTTATTCACTGACTATTAATAAAAGTCATGTTTATCCCAATAACAATTTTACTATTTCAAAACACTGGAGACGCTAACTTAGAAGGTTATTTACATAAAGTAAGTACTTGTGTAGAGTTTTACAATTCATAAATCTTTGATCGACTTCATTCTACTTAGAAACAAAATATTAATAAATAAACAATAATTGAAAATAGTCTCGGAGGAAGAAAGCTGAAAAACAACCATGTTTTTGTACGACTACGTTAACTTTTTACTAATTGGAAAATGGAAGGCAAAGGATTTAAATTGCACATAGATACAGTCTCGACTTTGTTTATTTTTACGTCGTCAGATGCAAAGAGGGCCAACCCGAGCACAGTGAGGCCCACAACAGAGGCCCTCTTTCTATAAAATCAAATACTCTTTTTCAACTAAATACTATGTTGTCGATTCTGGCACAATCCGCCAAACCTAAATCGTAACGCGGCACGATGTTATAGCCGTTTTGACATATTGCAATAGTGACGCGAAAAGTCAACCTGTTATCGAAAAAAATCCTATATAATCAAATATGTGTCATATCTAGGTTTAGGTTTGAAGACCTCCGTGGTCGAGTTGTTTGTACGCCGGGTTTCATGGTGTCACCTACTCGAGAGGTCCCGGGTTCGAATCCCGGTGGGGGCAGATGTTTATGTGATGAATACGAGCATTTGTACTCCAGTCAGGGATATTTAATATGTATTTCTATATAAATATACTTATATTTGTACTGTACAGACTGTGGTAAGCTTGGTAGAGCGTGCTACGCCCTCAACAAATTGTCTAGGCTCATGCCGAGGATGTTATATGCGTAATGTATAATTTAAACACATAAATCATTAATGGTTGCTTGGTTTATTAGGGATTTAAAACACAACATTGGTGCCAATTCTGGCGTGATTCTCTAAACTTAAAACTAAATTTAACATCAGTCTCTCCTTTTCATTCTGTATAGAGAATGACAAGGATATACTGCTGTCAAATTTAAGTTTAGGTTTAGAGAATCATGCTAGAATCGACACCATTATAACACTAAACACAGCGAGACAATATAATACAACCACAGACAGTGAATCATAGATATTAAATCATTCATCTTATTTTTTTAAAATTGTTTATAGCTTTGGTGATACATCACCTCCCCTTTTAGACTTAAATCATAATTAGGTATTTCTAAAGTTTATAAATTCAATCTATTTAGTGGCTTGACAATTCTGCCACTTCTAGTTGTAATTACATGTGTTTCTGGTAAAGAATGGTTGCTACTGTTCAAGTATTCATTATTACACAAATTTTCATTATCAACTATTTTTTTTAAATAAATGGTACTATTATTACTAGTATATGATTTTTTTAAATGTTTTATATTTCTCCTTATTTTATTTTCCTCTCCTTCCTTTTTAATCCAATATGATCTTGGCTCCTTACATTTTCCAATTATAGTTCCTTTTCGCCAAAACATGTCCTTATCAGTTTTATGTACTATTTTATCACCTATTTTATATTCATTCTCTTTTTTTCTAACAATATTTTTCTGTTGAGAAAGCGACTGTTTTAATACTAAAAATTTATGAATATCGGGCACAACCTTTGAATCAAGTAGCTTTGAATTTACAGGTATAAGGGTACGGACTCTTCGACTATTTAAAATTTGTGAGGGAGAATATTCCAGTCCAGTTACAGGTGTATTGTTATGACTTAACAAATAGTCTCTGTAATCCACTCTATCTTCATATGCTTTTTTCAATATAACTTTACTTATGTGTACAGCTTTTTCTGCCATCCCATTACTTCGAGGATAGTGTGGACTACTTGTTGTCAATATTATATCCTTCATTTTATAGTATTTATGACACTCATGTGAATTAAATGAGTTATTGTCTGCAACAATTTCCTCAGGGTAACCAAACCTCATGAATACTTCTTTGAATGCATTTAATACAGAATTAGAAGATTTATCATTTAAGGGCAAAATTTTAAGCCAATGAGTAAAATAGTCTACAATTACAAGGTAAGGCTTGCCCATAAAATCTAATATGTCGGTACCAACTTTTGCAAATCTTCGATTTGGTATTTTATGGCTAATTAAATTGTCATGAGGGTTGGCTGACCTAAATTTTTCACAAGTACGGCATCTCATTACATAATCCTGAATATCTTTAGTGAGTCCAGGCCAATAAAACAATTGTCTGGCTTTCTTTATGCTTTTACAAATCCCGGGATGACCTTCATGAACTAAATTCAGAACATATTTTTGTAAAGAAGACGGTACAATAATTTTATCATCATAAAATGCTAAACCAGATTGGAAATATATATTGTCTTTTAACTTAAAAAATTGTTTACAGTTATTTAAAACTTTATGTTCAGTAGGCCATCCCTTTAAATAATACAAATACAATTGGCTTAAAATCAGATCATTTTTAGTTTCATTTATAAAATTTTGTTTTCTTTCTGAAGACATGGGTAAGTGTGCAGTTACTGTGTGGACCATTTGCAACATATGTTTATCATTCTCAGTATAATTTAATTTATTTCTTGATAGCATGTCTGCAAAATGCAAAAATTTACCTGGTATATAATATACATTTAAGTTGTACATTAGCAGTTTCAGTCTCAAACGTTTTAACCTAGGTGACCCAATTTTCGAAATTGGCTTTGACATAATAGATACAATTGGTTTGTGATCAGTTTGTACATCAATATTAGTGCCATAAATATATCTATGAAATTTCTTGACTGCAAAAGTAATTGCCAAGAACTCTTTCTCAGTCTGGCTATAATTTTCCTCTGTCTCATTCATAGTACGCGAAGCACATGCTACTAGTTTTATTAAATTTTTACTATCATATTTTTGGAACAAACAACAGCCAATACCATTTTTAGATGCATCACATTGTAAAATAATTTTCTTTTTAGGGTCAAATGGTGTAAGTGATGGTGTTTTACAAATATTTCTTTTTAGCTCAGCAAAGGCCAATCTATGAGCTGGTAACCAAACAAAATCAACATTCTTTTTAAGTAATTTAAGAAGCGGGGCCATTATATTTGCCATATCAGGTACGTATCTACGCACATAGTTAAATGACCCTATAATTTGTCTTAGTTCATTTTGATTAGTTGGCTCTTTTAAGCACAATAAAGACTCAATTCTGTCTTTATCTAGAGACATCCCGTTTTCATTAAAGACCTGCCCTACATACTTTACTTCATTTTTTTTATATTGAAATTTATTTTTGTTGAAGACAATTCCTAATTCCTTAGCCTTACTTATAACATTTTCTAGAGCTTTATCGTGTTCTAATGCTGTATTTCCCATCACTAATACGTCATCGGCCCAAACTATGACATTTGGCATGTTCCCGAAGTGATTCTCAAGCACATCCTGAAACAATTCGGGTGCATTCATTAAACCATATGGTAAAACTAAATATCTATATACACCAAAGGGTGTTGCAAAGCAACATTTCCAAGACGACTCTTCAGAAAGGAGTAAATGATGAAATCCTTCCGTTAAATCTAGAACTGCGAAAAATTTCTTTCCCTGTAGTTTAAAACTTAAGTCATCTAACGTAGGTAACATTTTGGGTTTTTTGACAATAATTTTATTCAAATCTAATGGGTCAAGACACAATCTTACTTTTCCATTTGGCTTCTCAACAATCACAATTCTATTTACAAATGCATTACTATTAATATTTTTAATCTTGACAATAGCTTTCCTAGATTCTAATCTTTGTAGTTCTAATTTCAACGGTTCAAGTAGACATGAAGGTAATCTTGAAGAAGGGTGACAAATTTGTACAGCTGTGGGCACAGTTGGAATTTCTACATATCCAGGCAATCTCCCTATTCCTTCAAAAACTTTAATATTTCTTTTTATAAAGTTTTCCTTATCATTATCAACAACAAGCGTGTGTACTCTCTTAGTTAGGTTCAGAGATACACATGCTGGTAGACCTAACAACATGGTACTAGAATCAACTACCACAAAATTTTCATGACAGATATTTTCCTTATATTTACACATTAAATTTACAATCCCCATCGGTTTTATAATATTTCCCGCAAATGATTCAATTTTAATACTTGTTTCTTGTAACTTTATACCTAAATTTGTATTTAATTTTTCAAAAACTTTCTTTGGCATAACACTAACTTCTGCACCAGTATCTAACTTACATTTAACATATTGGTCCTCAATTAAAATATTTTCCATCCATTCTGTATTGTCCTCACCTGAATTTTTCACTTCACCACAAAAAAAACTTTCATTGGACTCCATATCCGAACACCTATTGACTTCCTGAACTTTTTTAACTCTGCAGCTCACTGCGAAATGATTTAAAATACCACATTTGGTACACTTTTTGCCAAATGCTGGACATTCCCTTGGACCGTGAACTTTTTTACAGCGACGACACTCAAATTTATGATCATTTCCTGGACCTTCAAACTTCTTTTTGTTAAAAATTGTGTTATTTTTGCCTCTACGAATCCTAGCTTCATCAATTTCTATTGTTGGGTTCATTTCCTTGACTTGGGAACGACTTACTTCACTTGCTCTACATATGTTTGCAACTTTGTCTAGTGTAAGATCATCCATTCTTAACAAACTTTCCTGGAGTCCTTTATCTTGGAGTCCCTGAACAATTCGGTCCCTTAGGAGCTGATCCTCTAAAGTTTCCTTGGTACTTTCGTAATTACATCTGGAGATGAGTTGTCTCAAGTTTGTATAAAAATTTTCAAAATTTTCATTTGGTTCTTGTCTCCGTTCGTTAAACTTAAACCTCTCAAAGACTTCGTTATATTTAGGGTTCACATATTTTTCAATTGCCGCCACCACTTTTTCATAAATTTGAGAATCCTTTTGACTCAATTTGAAACTTTGTATAACCTTTGTGGACTCCGGTCCCATCATATTTCTCAAAAGTGATAATTTTACCTTATCAGAGGCGTCATCCTTGCTGATCGCCACTAAATAATCTTCGAACACACATATCCAAAATTTCCACTCCGTAGATGCCGATTGAGATCGAATGTCAAAATTTGGTGGTAACTTAACCAGATTATTTTCCATGGTGCAACTTTTACATCGGTATATACACTATTACAGATTTCGAGTCGACTGCGCCATGTTATATGCGTAATGTATAATTTAAACACATAAATCATTAATGGTTGCTTGGTTTATTAGGGATTTAAAACACAACATTATAACACTAAACACAGCGAGACAATACAATACAACCACAGACAGTGAATCATAGATATTAATCATTCATCTTATTTTTTTAAAATTGTTTATAGCTTTGGTGATACATCAGAGGAAAGTGGTTCGATCGTGTTATTTCGCAACGGTCCATTCCTTGTTACAGTATGGCGCTGAGTTATGGGGGCAGGCTGCCG